GACCTTCAAGGCAGCATTGCATCACTTCTAGGGTAGAAACGAGCAACACTGAGCAGTTGACAGGCGAAGAAACCAGACTTGGGGCACGCTGTTGCCACGCATTGTTTGTGTTATTGAGAGCAACAAACCAAATAACACGGATTTTATCAATTAACTTCATTTGTGGCATCGCTGGCTTGAAGCTAGAGCCCTTCCCTTATTTACTTTGTATGTTTTTTTTTTTTGTTATTTGCTTGTCAGAGGTCAAGAAACTGCCCATATTCTTCTTGCTAGGCTGCTCAGACTTTAGAGGATACGAACCCAGGGGCACTGTAGGTACAGGGTTATTTCCAGCCTGAGAGCCGCTTTTGGGGTGGTCATGCACCTTGAGCATCGGGATCAAACTGCCCCTTTACGAGCCCTAACCGCACTATCCCATCTGCTCGTCATCTTCTAGCAACAGTGGCTATGCTTACTACGCATACCACCTCCATGGTAGTAACACCAGAACATGTTGACTCTGCCTGCCAAGCAAACATTGGTGTCGGGTTTCTTTTTTATATTGGCGAGACCGACCGGCAAGTTCTACAAATGTTTCCTTGAACACTGCCGCCGCATAACCTTGAAGCTCACTAGTAAACTAGACCCTAGCCTCTCCACACACGTTTCCTACCACTTCTCCAAAAATGGACACAGTGAATTCAATGTGCGCATCTGCATCATCAAATCTGGCTTCAGTTGCTCCTGATCTCGCAAGAAAAGAAGGAGACCGCTTGATGTTTAATCTCTGCACTGAATTCCCTAACGGCTTGAACAATAGACTCGTCTTCGACTACTAATATGTACTTCTACTCTTTTCTCTGAAGTCGACCGCCTCTCCCACTCTCCTTTGTTCCCCCGACCTCTTTGTCCCTATCAGTCTTGAACCTCACAATTTTTCTTCCCGACCCTCATCCCCACGTCCGGTTATTGTTCCGCTGTTGTGCCCTCCTTGTTTTCTTTTGTTCCTTCATTACCCTGCCGCCATGTTCCAACAACCCTCGCAGGCTTTTTAGTTATTCTTTTTTTAATATTCTTGTGAGGGTGATTTCTCTCCCACTTTCATTCATTCCGTTCTTTCCCCCCTGTTCCTAACAGTTTTGACCCTCTTCCGGACCTTCATATCTCTATCTGGTTGTCGTTTGCTGCTGTGCCCTTTTCGTTTTTTTTTGTTTTTTTTCTTTTTTTAAATTTTTTGTTGTCATGTTGCGACAGCTCTCGCATTCTTCTCTTTGGCTTCCCATACTTTTCACATAGTCTGACTAAAGCCGTGCCATATCTCTCACACTTTTAGTTTTGTGCCCCTTTTTTTTTATTCACCTAGTTATTTTAAGTTTATGCAAAGGTGGCTTTTGTTTATTGCAGAGGCTGCTAAATTAGGAGATCAATGAATTGCATTCTTTATTCCACCTAACAAAGGTGGCAAGTCCGATGCACTGAATTTACTTTTAATAGGACCCAGTAGTTGATAAGTTGGGGTTATTGGGAATTTGGTGGAGGAAGTTGTGAACCGTCTTTATGAATAAGCCTCAAATCATAATAATACTCCCGGCCAGCTGCTGTGCGACTGTCTGATCATCGTGACCAAGTGGTCACAATAATCGATCAGCTGCCACCACTGCTTCATTTGTAAGATACGGCTATAAGCGTATGACTTTATATTTTGTTTCAGGCTTTCAGTACTATTGACTTATTCACTTGTGCAACCTTTTATCAGGCATTCATTATTGCTGCATGGAAAGGTGTCCTGTTGTTTTTTCGTAATGACAATTAGTTGCACCGGTTGACCAGGCTTCTCGAGTCATGGCGTGTTGGTTTATGCAGTGTCATAGTTTTGCCTGTAGCATTATTTTTACCCTGGTGACTTTTTGCTGAGCTTGGATCTCTTCTATTGTTGTGTGAAAACAATTTTGCAATCAGTTTGTGACTGAAAACTCCCCCTAACATGCAGTTTTGTTGTCATATTTTTTTTCTTTAAATGGCAATTATGAACACACATTATTTGTGGAAAGGTAAAGTTATTCATTTGTTCATGAACAGCTCCTATGATACTATAAATTTAAGTCGGCCATATCCGACAGTTTCTGTGTTGTGGGTCAACTTCCATATTTAGTATGTGCTCTGTGCTCGCTGTGCTGAATAGTTTTAGATGAATATTGCATTTTCTGAAAAGCAGGGCAACGCAATCTCTGGGAAATTTTCATATAAAGGGTCTCCTATGTTTGAGTAAATAAAATCCGTGCACCATTATTTGCAATTGCAGATATTTGTTTGTTTTGTGGTGTTTTATTTTTTTGAGTGACTGACAGGAGAATAACTTCAGGGGGGAGCATTCAGGCGTCCTCAATGCCACATCTTTTAGTGTGCGGTCAAGGCACTGTAAAGGCAACGGGCTCATGCTTGGGCCAGGAATTTCTGGCAGCTCCCCTTGAAGTTCTTATCATGTCAGTGATTATAGCTTATAGTCCATATTTACCTTTATTTAATAGAAATATGCACTTGAACAATAAATATGTTTGCCAATTTGTGTCCAACAAACAATTAACAACATACTTGGAAGACACACCTATGCCCACAAAAATAGTTGATAAGCAAGTGATGGTAAGTTCCTCTCGTATTTTCCTCAGTACGTATGCACCCCGGCAAGCGGTGGCGATTTGATTTTCGACAATAGCACCACACCCAGCTCACAAAGACCCGATATGCTGTGTATCTCAGTTTCCTGGAAAGAAATAATTGCCATTATTATAGGAAATATTAAACCTGTTACGCTATTTATATGCGCTGAGTGTCAAATAAAAACTTGCCGACTTCTTTGGCTTCTAGTAAGTAGTAACATACTAATCGCATAAGTCAAGTGACGTCGGTTGTATGTGCTATCAAGTTCAAATTAAATGCGAACAGCGGAGCGCGTGGTCGTCGGCACATGCAGCGCTTCCTGGAGGCCTCTTGAAACTGATAAAACTGTGGGTTCGAGATGGAGAGTATGGCACTGGCGAGGGTGTGCGTCCTACTCCGATGTGTCTGACCCACGAGCCGAGATACTCTGGTGCAGTGCACTAATGCTAGATGGTGAATTTTTGACTCGAACAGCGAAACGCTACAGCGTGAAGGCATGGTTTACATAATAATAAACAATAGCACATCCTTACATAAAATGCTAAATACACCAGCCGAAGGTGTTTCGCGAACAGCAGCACCGGGAAGCTTTGGATTGGAAACTAAGAAGTAATAATCAATACCATTGAAATATAATATGGATGGGGTTAATCCTTTTTCAGGAAATCTCTAAGTTACAAAATGCATCCGAAATAATCAATGCTAAATGAATCCACAAAAGTGCAAAGAGAGAAAGCACATGACAATGCAAGCATTCAACTATTCAAAATTGCCAAAACTGTGGGAGCTTTTTATAGTAGGTGTCACTAGAAGGAAACTGTGCCAGAACCGAAAGTTCATTCCAGATGCTCGATGAAGCCTTAGGTACAGTGTTCAACGAAACGAAATGGGCCAGCGGAGCGTGTGGCCTCTTCTACTGGAGGTGCCAGTTGCCAGTAGAAACTGCGCGTCGCGGGTCGGACATACGCACACCTGAGAGAGCACAGTGCACACAGTGACTGTTCGCGCACAACCTCCAGAGATAACTTCACGCCATGAATCTGCAAAATTATCGTGTTCTTTTAGTTTGTTTATTCACTGCCCTATCTTATAACGATGTGATAAACTAGATTTTTTTTTTTTTCGTGTTTTGTTTCGGTCATGATACTTTGTCCAAATATTCTTTGTTTTCTGCATCACTTCCATTTTTACGATAAGAGATGGATTATATAGGGCCTTTATGGCTCGCGGTATACGTTCTGCAAAAATCAGTTCATCGGGCCAAAACAGTAGTCAAAACAAATCTGGCGAGCGGAAGAGTTACCGGGAGATTCAAACTGATAAATGAAACCCTATTTTCGCCTTAGAAGTTATGCACGTCATCAGAACATGGTACTGCTTTAACAACTTCTTTAGCGAGTTTTATAATAGTCTAAAACAAAAGGTGTAACACAAGCTAGAGTTTTCAAACTTAACACACGGAACACGACACATAGTAGGCACAATTTCGTGCACGGCACTTCACGAGATATTATTAGTCATGGTAAGTCGGTATCTTGAACATGGTAAGTGTGCATCTCTAGAGCACTATATAGCTCCTACGGAGCAGAGTAGCGCAATCCTTTGAACCCCGTGTTTTGCCGACAACATGGCCGACAGAGCGGCTCGGTGCGAGTCACGTGGTACTCAGGGTTCCAGGAGGCGGCCCGCCCTATGGGAGAATACATGGAGATCGACACAACACGGCTGATTAAAAAGTGAACGGCGAGTTCACACTTTCCGAAACTAGTCTGTCGTAAAGTTAGTAAATCACTAAACACTTTATCAAAGTTTTAATAATATCGGATGCGTGTACAAATTTTGAGAAGGCAATTTCCAAGGCAATGGCGTTTGAAGCAGACGATTTTTGCTCGCAGCGGAGATGGGCTTTTCGGGTTGGCCGGAGCGGGTCACGTGAATGGTGTGACGTCGCCGTGTCGTCTGCTGCATGATACCGTTCAAGCAATTTTTTAAAAAAAGTCAGGTCCTTGCGGGACACAAAACTTAGCGCAAATTGTTCTAAAATGTTCCATTATTATGTCAAAAACAATTGCCATTCCGTACATTCCCACAATACTGAAGAAACAACGATTTTCTCACGTTCTCCATGCATTTCTGACCGCTGTTGGAACCTCCGGGCGTTCGCCGCTAGTCGCCGAGAGGCGGCGTTCTAGATTGCGCTACTCTAGAGCCTCTAGAGTGCCTCAATGTTGCTCGCCGGCTGCGCCTTGCTAGAGTGGGGACATCCTTTGGGAGGGCAAGTGCCGCCTTTTCTTGTTTTCCCCCTCTCGCTCCCGGCCGCCGCCGCCATTTTGCCTCCCCGATCGGCTGCCGATGCACGCGTGGGATCGCTGAACTGACTTGTTCTTTTGCAAATGCCGGGTTGCTGCGTGCCGCAGTGTTCGAATCACTCGAAGAATGGGTGGAAGGTGTACGGCGTCCCAACAAACGCCAAACGGAGGCTTCTGGCGCTCGTACAGATAAAGCGCGACGACTGGGAGCCGAGCCGTTTGTCGTCTGCGTGCGGCGTGAGTACCAACTTTGTTTCCTTGCAATCGCCGGGTCCTTTGCCGCGCAGTTGATTGCTAGAAGGTGTTATTTCAGGTCGTGATCAATTATTTCAGATTAAGGCTTCTTCGACTTGGTGCTGCAATGAAGCGCCGCAAATAACTTCCGCTGGTCATGGTCGAGGAGCGGCATGAAAAAAGTGTGATTATTTTTTTTTTTTTTATGTGGATTTTATATCTGTGGATCCTATCCAGGCATCTATGTGTCCCGTTTTTTGTATGGTATTGTTGTACAGTCCCATAAATTTTTTTATATATTTTTTCTATTACTTATTTTGGTAAGTTGGTTCGTTTAGGTCTGTTATCACTTTCTTTCTGGAATTTGTGTTTGGTTGTGTGTGATTGATTCTTTTTTAATTTAGTGTGTGTTTTATTTCTGGGTTTTCCTCTACAGGCATCTGCGAGTCCTGTTTTTTGTATATATCAAGCTGCTGTGTCAAATAAATCCTAGTGTTTGAGATCTCTTCGTTCTCTGCCTTTTTTATTTCCATTTCCTTAGTCTCGGGTCTTCATCATCAAATCTTACCCATGTTTAAACAATACTCTAAATTTTAATTACGGCCCTTATCTTTGCCTTCAAAATGTCAAGTAAACAAGTGTTGTAAGTAATGAATCCTGTACTGAGTGCACCACATAACGATCTCCATTCTCTCCACTTTAAACTTGCTTCGTAAGACTTCTGCACGTTGCTGATACTCTGTTGAGAATTACCTTCCATACGAAAACGGGAGCCTGCATGTTAAATGTTAAGCCTTTTCTTATCTTAGTGCTCAGTACTTTAAACGTATCTTATATGACATGTTACTACCTAAAGATATTTGTAAACTAAACGTACATCTATTGATTTCTTTCGGCATCAGTGCATTTAAAGGAAACAGGTGAGAAAAATATTGTAATAGTAACAAATAAAATATTCTGATTTCTGTCTGCGGAAGGTATTTTGAGAAAACAGGCCAGCAAACAAAATTTATAGATACCTACTGCGGCCGTTTAGGGGAATATAGAAAGAAAACTTGAATCTGTCTTGATTTGTGCGTGTACTTCTGTGTGTGTGCTGATGCCTACAGGGCACCAGCGCACACAAAATAGGCAAGCAACTTTTTTTTTTTTAAGGTAAGTTGTAAGGTTGTTTTTTTTTTAGAACAGCTGCACCAACAGGTGAGGAACTTTTAAATTCTAAATGAGCCATGGAAAAAACGGAAATGTTTGCTTGTCATATTACCTCTAAACTCTGCACGGCGGCCGCCTGTTCAGTGGTTTTTCTTGCATCAAATGACCCATTTCAGTTTCATAGCTCTTGGAAGGACAGCGCGTCCAAGTATACTCAGAATTCCAGCGATATTGGCATAGTTTCGGTTTCTGCAGTTCAGTCCCTTCCGATGAAAAAACGAACAAAAAACCTCAACAAGTCCTGATGGAATGTCTCTTATTATGGAGTTCTTATTTCAGAAGCTCTGAATGCTAATCCAGAACTAATCAAGGTAATAATCTCGGCGAATAAGAGACGATAGAAAGTAGAACGCATATGCTCATATCTGCGCCTCGCTCGTTGATCGCTTTCATTTTTTTCATTCAATGCAAGGCCAAACACGGGTAGGTATTGCAGCAGATGATAACGAACATAGCCGGTATCAAATGTACTTGCATAGAACGACCATCTCTAAGAACTGGACCAGAATGCCAGCGGCAGCCGACGGAACTTTCGCGAGCACATTTGCGTTGTATGCGGACTAAATCGTAATTTTAAATAGGCGATCAAACGCATACTTGACTAAACACATGACGTTACGTGTCTTGAAGTGGTCACGCTCTATTTCACAGGTGAGAATGCTCACTAACTGCGTAGAGAGCTCATAAACGGCTGCATAAGCCCCGTTTCACATAGACTCGACTGGCGAAGAAGGCGGCAATATGGCGGCTCCGCTAGCAGACGACAGAGTTGTCTCCACTCTGGGACGGCGGCAGCCAACAACATTGAGGCACTCTACGCTACTCTGCTCCGAAGGAGCTATATAGTGCTCTATGCATCTCCAGACATCGGAGCATTGTTTCGTGTTCTCAAGCTTTCTTTTTCAAGAAGGCACAGCGGTGCTCTCAGAAGCTTAGAGTTGGCTGGTCCCTTCCTCCATAGTTTTCACGGGGGCGATGAAAACTTATTTTGTCGAAAAAGGTTGTTTGAGTGCTCAGTGTTGCCAGATGGTCGCACAGCAAACCTCCAAACGCTCCAAACGGATGGAGGGAGTATCCTAAATGCGGAGCCGTATATGTAGAAAGTCAATGGGAGGCGCGGGCAGAGCCAGGGCGTGCGGCAGACTCGGAAAGAGGGCTTGGCATGCTCTCTTGACCCATGCTCTTTGACCAACCAGAAGCCGAAAAGAATTCCCTAGCGGTGGTAGCGAGAAACAGTTCTGAGCCGATCGATCACCGAAGGTAAACCGAAGGTCTATGTTCGTATATGGCTTTAATAAGTGCGTAAGAGTGAAATGTAGTAACTCTTTGTGGTTGAAAATAGGGTGCACATGATGTTTCGATCATGATCATGCAGAAAGATGTAAGAAACGAATGCGCCGCTCAACTCTGTTTTGCGCGGACAGAGTGTGACCGCTCTAACGGCAGATTCCCGGGGCTCGGCGTTTCGCGTAAGGATTATGTCGATTTTTCCGCTAGTCGCACTCTTCCACCATCATTTTAGATGAGTGTGATTGAAACATCACGTGTACCATATTTTCAGCCATCAAGAGTTACTCCAATGCAGTTATCAGGTTTGTTTCTCGCGACCACCGCCAGGGTATTATTTCCGGCTTCTGGTTGGTCACATTCGAATTTCTGAAGACGCCCTGGAACACGCCCAGCCCGCTTTCGGCCAATGGCGCCGCTTCATTTGGGCCAAACTCTCTACATATACGGCTCTGCCTAAATGTAGCCAAAGCCACTGAAATTCGATGCTATAAAAAAAAAATATAATACAGTGAAACTTGTTTAGAACGAACGCACGTACAGTGAATTATTGTCGATATCGAACGCACGAAAAATTTAAATAAAAATGCATGTAAAAAGTACTTTTTATAACGAGCAACATATTGGCGCGCCGCCGCGCGGCCGGTACGGAAGGTAGGCAGTGAGAGCCCGAGAGAAAACGAAACCGAAACCACGCCCCGTACGTTGGTACGCGTTGAAGTCGGAGTGGTGCGGTTGTGCTGGGTTCACAGCATGAAGTGCTGCCTGTGCTGCGTCGTTAAGTACTTCAATAGTTATGCGTCGTATCTCGTGGAGACAAAGTTTCACAGTTTTTCACATCGCCGATGTTTTGTGGGTCAGCGACAACGATGAAGCCGTGCCATACGACGCGAGAAATTTGGTCTCCCGATCATGTCTGCCACTGCGTCGGCACGGCTGACATATTCTACACTGCCGCTTTGCGCTCTGCGTTTGTTTTCGTACCAGTAACGCCTACATGTGTCAGCGCCGATGGGACGAACTGAAATGCCATCCCACACTCGCGGGTATGCCGTGCCAATTTCGTGGGAGGAATGCCCTCCAAAGAAGTTTCGTCCCCATCGTACGTGTCGATGATATTTCCGGACAAGTATGGCACGCAATCTGTACTTCATGAAGAAAAATTCAAACGGTAAAAAAAGTGACAAATATAAATCTAAAGAGAACAACAATCAAACTCGGAATTACTGTAGAATCGACGTTTGAGTATGGGAGCTTATGTAATGTGCTTTCTTCTTGATCAGCCTCCTTTTGGATGTGGAAACGCTGACACCCCGAGTTCTGTAGACAGCAATTTTTTTTTCTCAGCTTTAGAGCCACCTATAGCACAGTGGTTCGAACTGGAAGTACCGTCCACTGGTCCCTTCCTACCTGTGAAGTGTGCACCTCCCACGATGAGTGGTATTATCTGAGAGCCTTTGACGGTCAAAGCCAGTTCCCATTTAGTTACGCCGCCCAAACTAAATTTCCACCTGGTTTCGCTATGCCAACTCTTTTTGTTATAATAAGTGTTCTGCTAAGTGACGGTCATGTCGAAGTACCTGTGCGCCGAAAATCAGCACCTCGCACAACAGGTTATTACACAACAGCTGACCGAAAAAGCCCTTGGCGGCCAAACTGTGTGTTGGCCGACAACTTTGTTTTCTCGGCTTTGGAACCACCTTTCGTAAAGTTGTTTCAATTGGAAGTACAGTCCACTAGTCCCTTCCTACCTCTAAAGTCTCCACCTCCCTTGACCAGTGGTATTCTCTTGACAGCCTTTTCATGGTCAAAACCGGTTCCCTTTGAGTTACGCCGCCCAAACCAAATTTTCACCTAATTTTCCTTTTTCTTTTTTTGTATACTAAGTGCCGTGTCATGTTACTGTCAAGTCCAAGCACCTGTGAACCCAAATCTGCACTTTGCACAGCCCGCTATAACACAACATTTTGGGTCCAATATTGAATATCCCGTACAGCTTTATTTCTTTATTCGTTAAAAACGCAACTTTCTCATTAAAGGGACCATGAAATGACCTTTTTACTTTTTCCAGATAACTTTTACATTAAACCGTCAATGTTCACTGAATGCCGAACAGGCATCCATTTTCGTCTCGGTTTATTAACTTCTACACAAAAAATTATTGAAATATCGACTTTTTCATTCTCTCCAACTGACCGCAAAACAAGCCGTGACGTAGGCCGTTTCCGGAACCGGAGGTTCTCTCGGCAGTAGGAGAATGGGAGTGTTAGCGGCAACGAGTTGGGGTGCGCCAGTAGGTTTTACTGCGCTGATGTCACCGACGTATTTCCTGAATCGGCGCCTCTCATCGCCGCATCGCAGCTGAGCGAAATGGACTTCGTCCAAAACCGACGCGCCCCATCGCGGCAAAATACCACGCGCAGTGCACTCTGGGAACTAGTTGGCCACTCAGTTTCGGTTTCGACTGAGCAGCTTCATCTCATGTTATCACGCCGCGACCGAACGCGCTGCTTGCGTTTTCGATTATCTGACTTTTTCACGAACGTACAATACACTTATTCTCGAGCGATACAAAACGAAGACCGGGGCACTTTCCTTGGTTCCCGAAACACTGGATATTATGAGTGCGTGTGCAAACGTAGTAAGACGTGGCTTAGTCACCTCACCCAGTATTGC